AGGATCATTGGCGTTACCTACCAACCAATATATGCACAATTTGAGTATTTTACGAAACCATATCATTCTTTGAAGAGGTCATAAAATGCTGCAGATTGGCAGTTGGGAAGGTTGTCCCCTTTCGTGACCAACTCGTGTTATTCCGGGACAAGCCGAAAAGCGGTTACGGAAAGAGGCGAGTGGTGACGAATGGTCCCTTTAGGGACATTTTATCGTCTGTAGTTACTTAAAGTACTGAGACAGTACGGCAAAGATGTGACCCAAACATACCCACCCCTCCTCCCTTGTGGGGATTTCGGATTATCATTGATACCCTAAACCTCTCCTCGCCGTAAGAGGCGACACTTAGTTGATCTGGTAGTCAGTCTCGGCCACTTGTGAACCTCCGCAAAATGGTTCCGCCATGTCTGCAGATCAACCATGCAAACTAAACATCGAAGTGTATAAGACTTTGACGCCCACGTATTTGAATTCGACTGAAGCACAGAAAACGATGAATGAGTGAGTGAGTGAGTTTGGTTTTACGCCGCTTTTAGCAATATTCCAGCAATATCACGGCGGGGGACACCGGTAGGGAAACTAGGACGGTAACAGTGTACATAAGATATTTTCTATAATGTTTTGGTATCGATGCTTAGACTGTTTTACATACATTTATTTAGTAATAAAACTGGAATGAATATATTTTACAGAAAAAGACACTTCCTAAATTTTCTTTAAAATGAAATAGAAAGGAGCCCAGACACTTTCTTCAATTTTCAGTTATTACTTTTGTTCTAAAACTGCAGTAATCTGGACTTGTTACATGTTCTAGACTTGATCGTAAAATATAGAAGTTGTCATCCATAAAATGTCTTCACTATTAGTTTGGGGCGGTGGGGTAGCCCAATGGTTAAAGCATTTGCTCGTCATGCCGAAGACCCGGGTTCGATTCCCCACATGTGTAAATTGTATGAAGCCCGTGTATGGTGTCCCCCCGCCGTGCTATTGCTGAAGTATTGCTAAAAGCGGCGTAAAACTATACTCATTCACTCACTGTAGTAGTGACATTCCAATCTAAAAGTTTACTCAGGGAAGTAGTTTCATAATCTGTTATCACCATGGAGTAGCCAATCACGGACCTGAAATGTCATGTATGGTCTGACATGAATTACAAATCAATAGGCATACTTGTCCTTGTGTTACATTAAACAATCAGTTTCGTGGGCAACACATGCTTGTCGTAAGAGGCCGCTAACGGGATCGGGTGGTCAGGCACGCTGACTTGGATGACACCTGTCATCGTATCCGAATTGTGTAGACCGATGCTCATGATGTCAATCACTGGATTGTCTAGTCCAGAATCGAGTTTTATAGCTCGACCCACTTGAAATAGCTCGAAAATTGCTGGGTGCGGCGTTAAACAACATGTCGTATAATACACTGTCGGCTAGTATTCCCTGTGTCTTGGAAGTTAAGGCATTCGCAATGTGCTCCCGTGAGTAACGAGCGCCTCTCATGTCCATTCTTGCAATATCCCAGTACACACTGTACCCATCGTCATACCCTGCACGATAACCCTTAAATAAGATATAAATCCAGCCTAAGTCATCCACACTCATGAAATACCCACATGCTGTAATTTGTTACGTTGTATCGATCCGTAATGTCACATACGCACTGTACTAACTACTTCCTCGTGATCGTTTTAAGTTTATAGGCCCAAAATTAGCACCACCCTGTCAAGCTAAAACATGTTTCTTGTGTACGCATCCAAAATTATCTTTTTTTAAAAATAATTTAAAAAATAAGAGCGTAAAGGCCATTGTGAAACAAACGTTCTTTCATTATATTCTTTAGCCAGTGTGTTATATATTACTTGAAACAAGGTTGACATTGACGGCGAAAAACGGCGCCTTAGGGTTTTAACTGTTAATGTATAAACGCCAAAACTCAACAGCCTTCTCTGTTCTTAAAGTGCCATGCCAGTCTTGGCCGCTCTAGCGCTACTAATTCCCCCAAAACTGTAGCAACACACCCAAAGACAACCGTCACCTCAGTGGGATACAAACCATTAATCTACACAAATAGAGACTCGATTATTTACAGACCACGCCATATAGATGGAAAACTACTGAGTGCGGTGTTAAACAATAAACAAACAAGTATTGTAGCAATGTCAACAACTACTATTTCAGCTGTCATCAACGTCCTAGTATTTGGCACCGCTTCTGTGGTGAAGTCCGCCCGGAGAGCGGAAGGTCGTGGGTTCGATCCCCGGTCGTCATACCATAAGACGTTAAAATATGGTACTTGTTGGTCCCTGCCTGGCGCTCGGCATTAATGGGTACAACAAGGACTGGTCGGCTTGGAGTCAGTATAATGTGTCTGAGTGGGGTATTCATGCTTAACTGCGGCATGGTATCTCAGTGGACTAGCACTATAAAACCAGCTTAAGTCAGGGAGTACAAGCAGCCACACATACACACGCATACACGTCTTCATTTGAGCGAAATATTCTCAAGTACGACGTTAAACCCCATTTCACCCCACCTAGTATTTGGCCACAACAGCTGCAAACCACAGACAGTTCCTTCTTCTGTAATACCAACTAAACCTAAATCCAGTGTGCGAAATAAGTTTCCAACTTTTGTTGCTAACCAGTCGGGCTAGCTATGCCTGAAGGTTACTAGCCCAAACAATAATTCACTTGCCCGAAATTTGAATGTAGAAACTAAGCAAAAGATTACAAAAATAGATGAGAATAAGATATTGTAGGCATGACACAGGTTTCATCATTAAGCTGCTAATATTACGAACATATTTCTCAGGCATTAATCTTGCATGATTTAAAATATTAAAACTTAACAAGTCGGAGAGAGTGATATATTTGCAAAAGGACCCCATGAAAATTCACTAGCCAGTCGGCCAGTGACTGGAGATTTACTGGCGCGACTGGGTTTTTAGCCACGGGGTTTTTACAAGCGGGCCAGTGGCTATTTCGCACACTGCAGCTTAAATCTAACGCATCATCGCAAAAAGCATTCAATTTGCTTTCTAGTAAACTTAATACAGTGGTACTTGAGGTTGGACAGTTATGACGTGGTTGGTTATGGGTGTGAGTGGGCGGCCGGGTCCCGTTACAAAACACGTGGACGTTATGTGATATAAGTAATAATATATCAATATATCCATCATAAACATATGTTCCGTAAATTGTCACGACTGGCTTAACTCATTGACTGGCTGAATCAGCTGTTATTGAAGATACCTACTTAATGAACGTTAAAAATCGATCCTATCTACACAATGAACACTTGATAAAAGGCTGGAGATCGCCTGATCCCGGAATACATGCTATATTGCCAATATTGCAGTTTTATTCAAATGATAAACATGCTCCGTAGTCAGTCTCAAAACGTGTTCTATTCATTGTAAGCTCACAAAAGAGTAATAAGCTTTGAGGTAACTGGCTGACCATGGAATGCAAATCAAAGTACAGCCCTTGTGCTATGAGTGATTGAATTAGCCCTGTTCGAACTGTTCCTTTACTCATAAAGAGTGAGTGGATGAGTATGGTTTTACGCCGCTGTTAGCAACATACCAGCAATGTCACGGTAGGGGACACCAGGAATTGGCTTCAGACATTGTACCCATGTGAGGAATCGAACCCGGGTGTTTGGCGTGACCAGCAAACGCTTTTACCACTTGGCCACCCCACCGTTCCTCTACTCCTAATGAAGGCAATTAACTATGATGAACACCTCGTACATCCAGCTGGTAAAATTAACTTTTATGTGATATACAATGGTACAGTTAAGCAGGTTGTTTTAGTATCGTGATATACTGATAGTCGACGCAGATTCAATCCACTAACCTATTTTAGTCATCCAAACAAAACAATAAATTAATTAAACCGTCACAGAACTTTTCTAAACTGACGATGCTCATTAATCACCGGCCGCAAATATATGGAAGTCAGTTTTTGCCAAATATGTTATCATTATTCATCTGATTTTTCAGATGGTTGTATGACGAAATTCATTAATTTCCCTGTAAAAGTTAGACTTTGGTATGACGAGATAACGTCTCAAACTAAATTCTTTAAATAAAAAACACCCATTATATCAACATTTACTAGTATGTAATAAAACTGTATTACGTATGGTATTTCTATATTGTAAGCAATGCGGCAAAGACCACGCCCATGCTGGGCCTTGGCTGCATAGTCCGTGGGATTAGTGTACTAATCTCCTCTGGACCTTACATAGTGACCACAGTGACCAGCAGGTGCCCGGAGCATAGAATGCCTCGTCCGGTCAGTTTTCCGTTATCAAGAGGTATAAATACGTACAAAAAACCACAAGATTCATACAGCTCTCATCTTCTGCCAACTCAACAACAAGAAAACAATCACCATGCAGAGAATATCAACTCTTCTCCTCGTGACTCTCGGTAAGTGTATTCGACTCTGGGGTAGAACGGAAAGAAGGACAAGTCTGAAGTATTAGGCAACCGCAACAAGCGTGATTTTCAAGATGTTCTAGCTCCTCTTTTTATATTTAAAGATTGAATTTAAATATTTTTCGGATCATCAAGTTCAGAATCGAAAAACTGGAGGGCAATCTGTATCAATCCGCGTTACGTAAATGTTTATTTATTAATATTCATTGTACTAATCTAACATTTAATGGTTTTTTTTATTTGTTTTAGATCGTATGTACATGTTGTATGTGATAAAAGAAAGGAAACGTTTCTTAAGTTCCCTCCTTTTGAACATTTATGCGATCACAGTGTATTATCCAGGTGTCACCTTATCTCCTGATGATCTCACCTGAAGTTATTGTTAGCCTTAAGGGTTTACAGTTTACAATTCCAGTGAACGTTTTCTCAAAAGAAAATACCAATATTTATTGTAAACTCTGAAAGCAATACGAGAAGGACACATAGACATTTCAGCACTTCTTTCTACAACGCGACTACACTGAATGATGTTATCTTTACCTTCCTTGACCTTTCAGTCGTTTTGGTGATGTCGACAAATGGTCATCGTCACCGTCACCGTCACCACCGTCACCATCGTCACCGACACCATCGTCACAGCAGCAGTAGTAGCAGCAGCAGCGGCGACAGCAGCTACAGCAGCAGCGAGGAGACGATTATCCACCACCACCATCACTCCTCTCCCTCCTCCAGCTCCTACGGGTCGTCTAGTTCCGGGTGTGGATGTGGAGGCAGTTCCGAGTCCTCTGAATCCTCCTCCGAGGACTACCCCATCCCCATCCCTGTGCCCATCTCTAGCGGCGGCGGCGGAGGTCACAGCCACAGCAACTACCTCCCTATCGTCCTCACCACAGCCGGAAAATAAGCTATCGTAAGTTACATTGTAGGAATTCCATGTTAGAATAGGTCTTCGCAGGTCATCATGACCTGACGGCGTGGCACGTCCCTCATTATATTAATCCATGGTTTATCTGATCCAGACTCTGTTATCTACATGTCATTGTCATGTAGATGAAATGCTGCTGATTGCGACTTTGAATAACAAACAATTTAATTATCTTATCATGTGAATTAAAACAGAGCTAATTGGTTTAAGTCGTAATAAGCCTTTCCTTGAGGCTAGTAATAGACAAACATGTGGTTGATAGAGTGAGCGTCAGTCCGTGACTTCCGGAACTAATTACAGCTAGAAAGACTGCAACTGTTTTGTTTATGCTATTGGTGATCTACTGTCATTTCTTAATCACCGGGGCGGTGGGGTAGCCTAGTGGTTGAAGCGCGTTCGCCTGTCACGCCGAAGACCTGGGTTCGATTCCCCACATGGGCACAATGTGTGAAGCCCATTTCGTGATATTGCTGGAACTCACTCACAAACACCGCCCCTATCGACAAACCATTGTGTCAACTGTAGATTTTCTTGTTAATTTTATTTACTATACGCTTTCTGGAGTTAGTACGAAATCCTCCACTTGGTGTCATACTTTCGTAATACACGCAGTAATGTTTCGGATACATACTCGGTTTCTGGCCTTAAAGGCAAACGTCTTTCTAAACATAAAAGTCATAAATATTCTTATTAATATACTATTTCCAATTCAGGCGTGTCTGTCACATTTTAACTTTTTCAACCACTCTTTATTAAAATCATTATTGGATTTCCTGAATATTGTGTAGGTCTATACTATTAGACCAACAGTCATCCTCTTTATCATGTGTGTCATTATATTTCAGGAAGAGCCAGCTGTTGCTTCGTTCGCATTTGTTTACAGATATCGAATCTGTTGTTACTGTTATGTTGTTATATATCCATCGATATTAAATAAACTACTTTCGTGTACGGTTGATTTATTGTTGCTTTAAGGCCTTTGGGCAACGCTGTTGTCGATGTGAATCGCCCGGGTGTGTCATAGTTGAAGTACGTGTTACTCTCCACGGTTTACACAACACAGCTGTTTTTCGAGTCTATGATACAGTCTGGTGTTCTTTAGGGACAAATATAAGTGCCACACATGATGACAACTGAAAACATGGCCACGCATGCTCCTGGGTTCCGAGGATGGGTCTAACTATTGCAACACTTGGTTTCTTGCAAGGTCATCGTCACAAACAAGTGCAGCCTTTGTTTCCATGTACGAACATGAACTATTACAGCTAGTGCATGTATGACCATGAACTATAGTTCTGGTTGCCATGTATGATAATGATTGCATGTGAACTATTAAGCCTTTGTTTCCATGAACGAACATAATCATGAACTAGCGTGTCTGCCGAAAATAGTAAAAACATGAGCTTAATCGTTCCTCCTCTTCCTACTACTACTACTACTACTACCACTACTACTACTACCACTACTACTACTACTACTACTACTACTACTACTACTACTACTACTACTACTACTTCTACTTCTACTACTACTACTACTACTACTCGCGTTGTGGCTGTCCGGATTGATGATGACCACAGTGTGTTGTTTGTGGTAGGCACTCATCTACCATCATCGAACTCTCCAGACTCTGTATACCTTGAAACCTTGGACTACACCATGTCGTTGTATGATATATACTCTGCACAGGGCCATATCATTCTCCTAGGAGACGTCAATGCAGACCTGAGAACACATATATCACTGCGAAAACGTTCAGCATTTCTTCATACATCGTTCACTGAAAGGCATCTTCTCTCCATTGTGCCCATTGACGATCAATCGTAATATACATACTCCTCACAATGCAGTTCATCACAGACTCTGATCGACTATGTGTTTATCCATAGAGATAATCTGCCACGTGTAACAGGATACCTTATTGACAGGTCTGTAACCTACTCAGTGTCTGATCACTTGCCGATCATGGTGTTTATGAACTTAACTACCACCCGTGCACGCTCTGAAGGATGTAGACTTAACTGGAGGATAGCTACTGATATAGACTTAATGCTATATCGATACGAAACTGAATCCTATCTTCGTGAAGCATCTTTCGAAATAGCAGAATATTCGACTCCCGAAACCTACATCAACGCTTATACTGATTATATTGTAGACAGTCTTCATAAAGCAGCAGCTGAAAGCATTCCATGTTCGAGGTTTAGGCCCTACCTGAAGCCATATCGGAGAAAGAATAACCTCAAACCCCTCCATGACGAAATGAGATCACTTCGCCGGGAATGGTGTGCACAAGGCAAAGGACGCAACAAAGACTGACTGACTGAGTATGGTTTTACGCCGCTTTTAGCAATATTCCAGCAACATCACGGCGAGGGACACCAGAAATAGGCTTCACACATTGTACCCATGTGTACCCAAGGTTAGATAAAAATGTGGGCGGTGGGTAGCCTAATGGTTAAAGCGTTTGCTCGTCACGCCGAAGACCCGGGTTCGAATCCCCACATGGGCACAATGTGTGAAGCCCATTTCTGGTGTTCCCCGCCGTGATGTTGCTGGAATATTGCTAAAAGCGGCGTAAAACCAAACTCAGTCAGTAGATAAAATGTAAAGTGTAGCCTGGTGCTTGAAACCTTTTAAAAGGAAGATCATGCTCCTTTAAGGGCACACTGTGTGAACATACCCGTAAGTGTATTTAACGGACTATATTTCGCAATAGGGGTTTGTGGGCTGACAACTCATAAATATTGCGCAAACAAGCCCTTAACTCATCAACTCCATCCCCGACAAGTAACAACTCTTCATTCTACTCCGTATAATATGTCCCCTGCCCCTAAACATTATGCAGTATAATACCATTGATGTGCATGCGAAGCCACACTTGAAATTCCAATACTTTTACGTGCATCGAATCAATTTGCATGGTGCATCAGTAGATTGAGTCGAATGAATGTTTAATGGATAGAGAAGGAAGTGATTTTAAATTGTGAAGTCTTTTTAAATAGTGTATATAAATAGTGATAGTGCACCTGCAAGGTGATGGATAGAACTGATACCTCTTAGCTGCATCCTGTTCGATTGTGATTACGTGCGTGATACCAGTGAACATCCGGGTTAGAATTGTTTTTTCAGCAACCCATGCTAGAAGAAACGACTGATGGGATCGGGTGGTCCGGCTCTCTGGCTTGGTTGACGCAAGTAGTCGCTTCCCATTTGCGTTGATCGATGCTCATGCTGTTGATCACTGGATTGTCTAGCCCTGATTATTTACAGACCGCCGTCATTATATCTGGAATATTGCTGAGTGTGGCGTTAAACAACAAACCAAACCAACCACACAAAAACGGATCTCCCTGCCCTCCTCCCCGTATAATCAGAATATTATTGTATCTACTTTATACATGGTGTTAAACTAGTTATTTAAAGATACTTAAGGTTTGCTTTCCCCATTCCCATTAAAACATTGGTAATATAGATGCATCGAACTATGATATATTGCAACTGTGGAGTCTCCGATAGCAATTAATCGATGGTAGAAACGATAAAATATCAATGCATCGATAGTATGTGTGACTATCGTCATTCGTCACCACTCGCCCCTTTCCGTAACCTCGCTATTCGGCTGTCCCGGAATAACACGAATGTGACTATCGTATCTGATAAATGCGCAGCGCAAAATACAGCAAGTACCAGATTTGTTCGCTTTGAAATATTTGTGTTGTTTTGTATTTTTATTGTTTGGGTGCAGACTTAATTGTAACGGCACTGAGTTTGTGTATTAACTGTTTACTTGATCTGGGTTTCAAGTTTCTTGTCAGTTATCAAAAGCGACTGAAACTACTACAACTTGTTTTTATTTCATATAAACTATGCATTCATTTGGGAAATGACTTCAAATGAGACAATTCAAGGAGAGAATTTTTTTTGGAAAAGTTGGTCGCAATATTGGACTATCGCTATGGCAATAGTATGTTGCAATGGACTATTGCTGTCGAAATAGTCGTTTCCCCTTCAATATAGTCACCCCTAGTAATAACAATAACCAACAGGAATATCGTAGTACCGGTATGACTTCCAAACCTTACAGCTAAATAAGAGAGCTTCGAAAATCTAGGCCCTGTAAATTAGATAAGAGCTACTAGTCTTCTTCAAGTCTAACATGATTCAACATGTCTTAATAGCCTCCAGCTCCAGAAATCAAGGATTTATCACGTAGATATATATATTTCATATATTTTAAAATAAGATGACAAATTGGAACTACTTGTCAGTCAAGGTAAGGCCGTTTAGTGCCTGTTTCCCGCAGTAAATAATATAAGGTCACGGCCCAGCAAATTTACATATTCTGCGGAAGTAAATGACTGCTCCCTCGCTCGACAACGTGCAGTTTCGGATCGTCGTTATGGAAGTTGAGGTAGAAGGAGATACATTGTTTGTGACTATCGTTTCATGATTTACAGTCTAGGTTTCGTGCCATGAATTTACACGTGTCATACGTGCCCAGCCAATTGACTTCAACTCGGTCAGCTGTGATTGGTGTGATAGGAGAGACTCGCCCGATGGTGCTATTCAAGGACACGTGCTTTTGACGAAGGAGATTTCAAAATAGAATACGCCGGGAAGTAGATTTGTGTATAAGTTCGGAAGTATCCGCCTATAGACTAAATGACTTTGAACAGTGACATTTTTCGAAACCAAGAGCCAGTTTCGGTTCTTGAAAAATGGTGTCTTGGATGGATGTGGAAATTTTCATCCTGCGAGTGTGTGCGCTTGGTTTGCTAGGTAAGGATCTCTTTTTGTATTTACAATACAATACAATAATTCGTCAAATGTAGGTGAGCTGTTCACCTTGCACTCGGAGCACCTCAGTCCGACCTTTCACCTGTTATGCATCGTTGAGTGCTTTTAAAAAAATTGTTGATGCGCATACTGACATATACTCCTTAATTGTGACTGACTTGTTTTCGTTTTCTAGAGAATTTGTCACCCCACAGAAGAGGGCATACAAGTGTTAAACTTCCACTGCTTCACCAAACGCATTGAAATATGAAGTGATAAATAAATAAGTCATGCTTACTATGATGTGGAACAAGCACATTACACAGAGAATCTGTGAATCAGAAAATAAATAACACAATGGATGCTTTTATTTCAAGTTTAAGTAGGTTGACCTTTCGTGTTAAACTTAAACTTAAACATAAGTAAACTGGTTGCAAAAGAAAATGTGCCTACAATATGTTTATCTGCAAGCCGTTGGTGGTCTGTTTGAATCTGTAGTAATATGCACATGCTAGTGTTCTGGTAACAAAAAATATACAGAATTACAAATCTAAAATGTTTCTTGATTTAATTTTTGTACCTAATTAGGAGTATTCACAAAAATTTATCTGAAAATGAAGACAAATAAGAAAATTGGAAAACGTATGCCTGGGAATGACACGTTGGCCATATTGAAACGAGGCAAAGTATATGATGACAGCATTTATGGGAGTTGACAGTTTTCTACATTATTTTTATGACCTTTGTGTGGTTAACTTGAATATCTCAGTGCACCAGCTTTAGAGGGACAGCTGTTAGTAAACTTCACTGGGTCAGTCAATATTCAGTGATTCGTATGAGGATTGGACATAGTTACTATGACACACTGTCTGAAAGCCAAGTCACTGAGCCCAACTCCCCAAGTGATATTTTTATGGGGGATGGGAGGGGTGGAGTGGTGGGTAGCCTAGTGGTTAAGCATTCGCTTGTCACGCCGAAGACCCAGGTTTGATTCCCCCACATGGATACAATGTGTGATGCCCATTTCTGGTGTCCCCTGCTGTGAATATTGCTAAAAGCTGCGTAAAACTAACACACCAACTCACACACAACTCATTTTGTGGGGCTGCAACAAAACCGCTTGTTTGTAGAATATGATACATATCACAGATATTGGGTAACAAATACAAATATTAAGTAACGAATACAGTAATAAGTCTGCAGTTGATGTATTACCGTTATGAATTATATTCCGTGATACATTACAAAATATATTCTTTACATGTTTTGACCATGCTGACCATGATAATTTATCACGACAATGACCGGTGACCACATTACTGTCTAGATTAAATATATAGGACCGTTGACTGTTACCAAGCCTGGTTTGGGTAAGTTCCATTTTGCATGCATAATTTTTATAAGTAACACCCAAGTTCAAATAAAAACATTCCATTTAGAAAATGCATGAATATTCCATTCTTGTGATAGCAAATAATGAATTCATAAAGGTAAACGGTTCAATTCACTGAAGGGCAGCGGGGTAACCTAGTGGTTAAAGCATTCACTGGTCATGTGAAAGACCCGAGTTTGATTCCCCACATGGGTTCAATGTGTGAATGTGTGTGTATACTAGTCATCCTTTAAAGATGTGAAATTTGCAAATGCATTTTGTGAAACTTGAAAAAAATCCAAAAGAAATATATGATGTTTCTTTTCTTTTTTTGTGCATTAACAAGCATAACTGGAACATTTTATAAATGATGCTAACCAATTATTTTCGATAATTGATCGATTGTAATGAACCAAACATCTATTATGAGATTTTAATGAATTCCCAACACTTGTTTTGACCCATATGCATAAGGTGATGGTGTGATGGCCCATTGGTTCAAGTGCTCACTAGTCATGATGAAGACCAGGCAGGGGTGGAAATAACCCATTGCCCGACGTCCCAGTCCAGTGTTTTTTTCTGTCGGGCATGCAAATTTGAATATCACGCTGTACCGGTGTCCAGTTGACTTTCCAATGTTCATCATGCTGCTTATTTAAAAATCAACAAGAAAAGCGTCCTGTATAGTGGAAACATTATCAGGGCAAGTGATTTTACATGTGCCACTGTACCGGAGTACACAATCAATTTTAAAGTTATTTCCACCCCTGCCAGGGTTTGTTTCCCAACACGGATTCAACGTCACAAGCCCATTTCTGATATCCTTGTTGTGATTCTGCTGAAATATTGACGAAAAGCAGCGCAAAACCTCGCTCAATCGCCCCATGTGTTAAAAAAATTAGGAGTGGTACAAATAATTTCCACTGAGGGGCCAACTTTGATGCCAAACCTGCGGAACTAAGAAACTGAAGCAGGTGATAACAGCTATCTTTTATGTTTGTATTGATAAGAAATACATTCACTGTTTGGGCAGTCCCCATTTTTCAGTGAACACAAGGCTTCACAGTTACACAACAAACTCAAAGGAAAAACTGATTTTAGTTTATTTGAACAATACTTCGTCATACCTATTTTGTAGGGGTGTCACGATACACCAATCTCACGATACGATACGTATCACGATTTTAAGGTCACGATACGATACGTATCGCGATACATAATTTTACGCACCTTTTCATAGCATTACCTTACCGGCAACGATTGGTCCATCAAAATAGTCTAGCCAATCACAAAAGCTGTTAGTTTCCAACCTATTTTTTAAGTAAAGCTAGCTACATCTATTTATCGGAGCGATCTCGTATTATTTTACTATCAAGACTTTGAAGGAGATGGATATAGCATAAAAATTTGAATCGATAAAGTTTTAAAATAGGAATCGATACACGCAAGCATGTATCGCGTATCCTATCGTCAGTAAAAATGTATCGCGACACCCTTACTATTTTGACTAAAATAATATATCAAGTTCAGTTCATTATATAAGTCAGTTTGTTATGAACTTCTTGTAAGTTGACGCATGTCATTAACATCACTGTATCCCAGTTGCGTAGATTGATGCTCATGATGTTGATAGCTGAATGTTTGGTCCAGACTCAACTATTAACAAATCATCGCCATATAGTGTTGCTGACTGAGGAATCAATCAATCAATCAATCAATCAATCAATCAATGACTAGTATAGTTTGTATGTTGTTTAACCCGTGAAGGTCTGGGTTAGAATATTGATCTTCAGTAACCCATGCTCATGGCCCTCAAGAGAGAGAGTGAGTGAGTGAGTGAGTTTAGTTTTACGCCACACTCAGCAATATTCCAGCTATATGGCGGTGGTCCCCTCACTAGATGAAGTCTTATGCACCAGTAAACCCATGCAAAGTGAAAGTAAATTCATATGTGAATATTTATCGTGATAAAACAGAGATAATATCAGGATAGTAGATTTGTGATCATATGAGGCTTTTGTTTGGAAAAAAAAGGTAATAGGCACATTAATATTCTGGATAGTTGATGAGTTCATTTAAAATAATATCTATGAAAGCCCTTGACCTGAAAAATATGGGTCACGCTAAAGTTCCAAGGTATCAGAATACATAATTGAACCTGTTGAATAAATACAATAGTATTTAAACTTTTTAAGGGGGATTGAAAAGCTGTCCAGTATTTGTCAGGATTAATATTTCCAGTATTGTATGCATCACGTTTGGTAGTCTTCTTATGCAGTGTACAAGAACATGATGAAGGGCTTCACTCATTCTAACATGGATTTATCTAGGATTCTCTCCTAATTGCCCATGGAAGGCAAATTGGGAACAATCATAATTTTAAGGGTTTTGAGATCATTTAAAATAGAATATTTTAAAAATTAGTAAAACTTTTAAAGTTTTCTTTTCCAAAATTTCAGAGATGTTTTAATATTGAAAATTAACATTACATGTAAGGTGTTTAATGCAATAACTTGAAGCTATGGGTTAATTAGGCCTCTTTGTCTGTATTGGTGATATCATCAGTGAATGAAAAGTTCCCTTGTAAAGCCGTAACATTGAGCATAAATATAACAAAATGAATCAGGAAGTGTTTTATTATATTCTAATTTGGGAATATTTACTGACATTTGCTGCTGACCAGCTCCCAAATATCGACATGTCTACGTCTGGAAACATCACTCCATAATAAGATATGAGGCAGGGTTTTACCTCGACTCACAAAGAAGGGTGTCCCGCTGTAGCAGGCCATTTCTTTCCCAGTCTAAACTTTCCCCGGGAAGAATCTGGCCTAAGCCAAGCTTTTCCCGGAGAAGTTTTGTCCTAGGATATTCTTACCATGGGGAAAGTTTGGGCTAGGCTAAAGTTTCTCTCTTCTCTTCTTCCCCACCTTGGGCCACTTCTTCCCCATCCTTACTCTTATATCAAAAGGGGGAGATTCTGGCCTGGCCACTTCTTCCCCCACCATTGCTCTTATATCAAAGGAGGAGATTCTGGCCTAGCTAGGCCACTTCTTCCCACCATTGCTCTTATATCAAAAGGAGGGCCTAGCTTAGATTCTGGCCTTGCTTATATCAAAGCCACTTCTGGCCTAGCTAGGCTACTTCTTGTTCTTATATCAAAAGGAGGAGATTCTGGCCTGGCTAGGCCACTCTTCCCCACCCTTGCTCTTATATCAAAAATTCTGGAGGAGATTCTGGCCTAGCTAGGCAACTTCTTCCCCACCATTGCTCTTATATCAAAAGGGGGAGATTCTGGCCTAGCTAGGCCACTTCTTCCCCACCATTGCTCTTATATCAAATGGGGAGATTCTGGCCTAGCTAGGCCACTTCTTCCCCACCATTGCTCTTATATCAAAAGGGGAGATTCTGGCCTAGCTAGGCCACTTCTTCCCCACCATTGCTCTTATATCAAATGGGGAGATTCTGGCCTAGCTAGGCCACTTCTTCCCCACCATTGCTCTTATATCAAAAGGAGGAGATTCTGGCCTAGCTAGGCCACTTCTTCCCCACCCACCCTTGCTCTTATATCAAAAGATTCTGGCCTGGCTAGGCTACTTTTCCCCATTGCTCTTATATAGGCTTCTTCTTCC